CGCTAAATACTCAAAGAGGCAAACAAAAGAATAAGTTTGGAAGATTTTCTCCTAGTTAACAGAATAACCAATTGTTCTCCAAGAAATCTGTTCTACTTAGGTTGTAAGAAAGCAGTCCAGTACTTAAGGTGAAGAGAGTGCAAATAAAAGCATCCTTACTCAAAGGGAAAACGTGAATTCTGAAGGCTCTGCTACTGTGCTGATCTGGTTCTTCAACGAAAGGTGAACTAGGAACTTGTCTCGGCAGCACTGTAATTTGTTGTTCAGAGTGAAAAGCCAGTGAACGCTTGGGGCACTGCCAGAGAGGCCTGGGAAAAGAAGAAAGTCCTCAGAGTTGTGAATAGCTGTTTGTACCTTACTGGGAATGCCCCGACCTGAACTGCATAGATAACATTAGCTCTAATGCCAGGGTGCAGATCTTGACTGCAGAGAGGAAGGGACAAAGCTCGGAGGGACTTTAAAAGGAGAGATTTGTGAGTACCTTTCAAGACAGAGAAAAAAAGAAAGCCACCCTCCATCTCTATAACAGTCACTGGGAAAGACTACTTGAATTGTGAAGAGTGAATTTTCAGTTACAAAGAAGGCAACCCTACCTAGTGCTGAACTACTCAACCGTTGGCCAGAACTTTTTGATTCCAAATGGTCAGGAGGGGTGACTCTTCTAAATAGTCACTGCTTGAAAATGAAGAAGGGCGGAACACAAGAATGGGATCAAACCTTATCTATCTACTGGACTGGGGGATCTTCAAGGACAAATAATGTGGGGGGTCTTTTTTTTTTGGCATGCACAAAGAAGAACCTTAGTTGTCTTTTGAATAACTAAATGAATGGCTCAATCTTTGCATTTCAAAGGCTAGAAAACCAAAGGCTGGTTCACAGCAGGGAAGAGCCAAAACTAGTAAACCAGGTTTTCCAATTCCCAGTTCAGGGATCTTTTATACCAGGGGGATTTTTCCCATTTGAAATACATAAATAAATACAACTCTAATATGGTGATAGTTACAGGACTGTAAATATACTAAAAACCACTGAACTTTACACTTTAAATGGTTGAATTATGGTATGTGAAGTATACCTTAATAAAGCTATTACAAAAAAACCAATGCTGCATTACTGGCTGGGGTGTAGCTCAGTGGTAGACACCTTGGCTAGCATGCCTGAGGCCCTGGGTTCCATCTCTAGAGCCCTGAAAGATAAAAAGAAACTTCAAACAAAATTATCTCTACA